AAAAATGAATTTTCCTTTTTTTCTTCATATTTTATAGTGAAATAATTACTTCTAAACAGTAGATATATTTTCCTCTATGTGACACTGATTACATGCAATGATATTAAGTTGTTAATTGGACAGGTTTATTAATCCTAAAGAAAATATAACAAAACTGATCACTCACCCTGACAATGACAGAGAAGAGAGACCGACAGCCAGAAGCAAGGTTCACATAGGGATCCAAAAGGTATTCGTGTACGTGTGGATGAGGGAAGAGAGACAGTCTGGACAACACCGAGGTCACTTGTAAATTGACGTCATATGGCTGGGGAGAGGTGAGGAACAAACACACATTTGGCGTTATTCATCATGTCCATCCCGGAGCACGCACTTTACCATTTTGTCTTTCAAGAGAGGAAAGCTGACCATTTCCTCCTCCCTCCTCCACCTGCTCTTCTACAATGGAAACACCCGTAACTAAACTAGTTCTCACCACTTAGTCAAAGTGCATATAACTCAGTCCTAAACGTTTATGCATGTAATATACAGAAAAGACAAACACAACATGTCAGAATGTCTCTGTGTTACCCAGGTTGTTTTATTACCTGATCAAGAATTCTTCCCATTCTGTCAAATAAAACTTTCAAAAAATGACCTTCGAAGAAAGTGGCTTCTAAATTGCACTTTTCCAAGGCTTTTGGAGACCCGGGCCACTCCCATCTCAAGCAGATAGCACAGTAGTCCCGGAACTAGGGAGAAAGCATTTAGATCAAATTAACCCAAAACAAATTGAGGTGAAATAGAAACGACTTCCTCCAACAGGAATATCAAAATCCCTATGAGAACGCAGAGGGCAGAGGCCTGGGTGAGGGTGTGACAGAGGGACAGCGTTAGAGACCACTGTGCGTGGAGGACAGTGGTGGAGAGGAAAAAAGGAGAATAAGCCTGCGGAATGGAAGTAACGGCGGCGTAGAATCATTTAAAGGTCACCTTTGGATTAGCGAGGGAAAGGATTTGGGGGAGATATAATGTCGGTACGGGAAGAAAGGAAAGAAGGGAAAAAAGGGAGAGGGGTGGGGGAGAGAGGGAAAGAGAAAGAGGGGGCAATAAAGAAATCTTGAGATAGAGACAGTGAAATGCAAGGTGAGGTCACTTGCAGGAAGCTCTAGTAGTGAGAGCGGAGGTCAGGCCTTGCAGAGAAAGGGAAACGTTGGAGAAATGACTGTGAGTGATGTGACAAGCTGTGTGAGTGCATTCTCATTCGATTTCATTTCAAAAGTTTGGTTATTAGACTCACCTGCCTATGAGCATCTCGGAGGTAGGTGTCATATCCTGTGCCCTCAACATGGTAGGATGATTTCGCTTCATCCGGTACCAGACAGAGAAAACTTCAATGAAAAAAGTTAAAATCAATAACATAATACTCTCATGATATCTTTATATGTATTAAAATACCTAGCGATATCTTCAGTTTAAACAAGTATTAATGCAAGTGGAGACTTGAAAAATAAAATTGTATTTTCTTAATCAGCCTTACTGATTAAATACACTGTCATTAAAGCTTTTATTCAAAAATTACTCATCCCTCTTAAAGGAGAAGTAAGCCTAAAATGACTTTTTTGTTTGTTTGTTTACATTACAGCACATGGACAGATTGCCATGCTGTTTGTTAATCTCGGGAAACTGGCCTTCAAGTAAGTGAATTTAAGATTGCATGCGTCCTGATTTTATATCTTGAGCGACATGCAATTTTCTCTAGTCATCTGACAGAACCAGGCGTATCAGTAAGAGCACTGCAAAGGAAGAAAAAGAAGGAAATTGCCATAGAAAGGGCACTTAAAAAAAAAAAAGTAAAACCACAGACTAACAACAACAAAAAATTGACCTTATGCTTAGGAGTAAATATCTAATAAGCACAGTTTGTCAAACTGGAGATTTTCAATGTTACTGCACTTGGGAATTTACTTAAAATTATTTACATACAAAAAGAAGGGTCCTTAGAAGGTCAGTTTCACTAAGGTCACGTGTGTTTATTTCTGTATTAAGCAGAGCCTTTCTCTTTTGCTATTGACGTTGCCCTGAGGCTCTCACCAGCTACCTAAATGTGACAAAAGGCTCACATAATCTTTAGATTAAACAAGGAAAGACTGAGTTCATACTATATCTCTGTAACAATCCAAGGGCAGAGCTATTATTTGTTATAAAAACAAGTAAAAGAAACACCAGTCGCTCTGCGGTGTGTAGGTCAGTGGTTGAGCATCGACCTATGAAAAAGGAGGTCATGGTTTGATTCCTGGTCAGGGCACAAGCCTGAGTTGCGGACTACATCCCCAGTAGGGGTATGCAGGAGGCAGCCAAACAATGATTCTCTCTCATTATTGATGTATATATATCTCTCTCTCTTCCTCTCCCTTCCCCTCTTAAATCAATAAGAATATATTTAGAAGGAAAAAAAAGAGAGGTGCAAGTTAAATGTATGTAGCAACTCACCTATTCACAATTTTATGGACTTCAGTCTTCCCATCATTTCTGGGGTGGTCTGGAGTAGCAGGCGGCGAAGAACTAAGCCATTCTTGGTTTGACAAAGTGTTATCTGGTGAAATGTCAGTAAATAATGGATCTTCTTCCAGATCTCTAAGTTTAATTTAATGACGCATAAGAAAACATTTTATTATATTTTCTAAACCAAAAGATTCTCTGCTGTGCTCTTAGAAATAATTTTATTCTTACATAATTTTGTTTAAAAAAATTAAGGAATAATGTATTGATATTTTATAGAGGAATTAACATTTTATACTAACATTAAACTCAAGAAGATAGTGATTGTGTTAGATTTAATGAATAGATAATGCCACTTATAATTTAAAGGGACAGTAATATTAAGATATCTAAGATTTATTTTTTTAAAACTTGCAAACTGTTAGAGGTTTTTTTAATGAATTAGGGAAATAAGAGGAAAGAGAAAATTATGATTCTACATGAAATGCTAAACTCAAAGAGCTGGCTAGAAACTTACACTGCTCCTGCTATCTGTCCGTTCTCCACCACATCTTTATCTTCTGGACACACGGGTTTATATTCCGTATAATTTCTTTCTTCAAGATTTCTTAGGACCAAGTTGTAAAGAATGTGTTCATTGGGTTTTTGTAAAAGATGTTCAAACATCCTTAGTGTCATTATGCTTATCTGAAACCAAAAACGATAAGGCTAACTGAAAAATGTCTTTCAATAAAGTCTTCTTGCCATCCTATAAGTCATGGTGTCAATTTTTAAAGCCACATTAAAAAAGAGGCTGTATTCAACACATCACAAGTATATTAAAGTCAGTATTTCAAAGACTCTAAGTCAGTGGTTCTCAACCTTCCTAATGCCGCGACGCTTTAATATAGTTCCTCATGTTGTGGTGACCCCCAACCATAAAATTATTTTCGTTGCTACTTCCTAACTGTAATTTTGCTACTGTTATGAATCGTCATGTAAATATCTGATATGCAGGATGTATTTTCATTGTTACAAATTGAACATAATTAAAGCATAGTGATTAATCACAAAACAATATGTAATTATATATGTGTTTTCCGATGGTCTTAGGCGACCCCTGTGAAAGGGTCGTTCGACCCCCAAAGGGGTCGCAACCCACAGGATGAGAACCGCTGCTCTAAGTCAAATTCTAAACCCTTGCACAGCTCACCTCATCAGATATGTGATCACAATGTTCAATTAACCTGTGTCTTAAGGGGTGTCTGTTCATATCTGCCAGAGTTTCTGGCTCCCTCTGTTCCCCAAGGATAAAAAACACCATTTCTTGAAGCAAAACGTTGGAGGTGACTTGCCGAACAATGCGATGAAGCAAAGCAGTCGACGTCAGGATACCCATCTCGGAACTGGCATAACAAACAGGGAATTAGCGGGCAAAAGTAACATGAACACAGCGGTTTTATTTTTTAAGTAAAGAGACCACTCACGTTTGCATTAACTGAGGTTCCATAACACCAATAAAAAATCTTTCATGAATGGCTTTGGCAAGAGCAACAGCAGTAGTCTAGAATATAGTACAAGCATAGATATCAGAGAGAGATTAATTTGTAACATCAATAAGTCAGTCTCCACCCTCTGTCTGAATTAATGTGGAAAATAAACTTGCCTAGATTAGATGCTAGTTATTAAGTGCTTTACATTGTATCTAAATTTCCGACAAGCAGGATAAAAATATTATCTTAATCACCTCATGGTAGTAACATCTTCCCAAAGAGGAGAAAGGGAGGGAGGCCAATGCTATCTTATGAAGGCTATACTACAATACTTAAAGAAATATAAAGGCAGAACTGGAATTGTAATTTATTCTACAGTTGTAACACACACACTCTATACATATGCATTTCTCTTGTTCACTGGTTTTATTTATTTTACTAACTGTGCTATCCTAGGACAATTAAGATATATTTGGGGATATTAACTGAGAATTCAAATTTCACTTAATAGACAGTTACATTTTTAAAGGATCGGTAAACAACAAAAACATCCCAACCTTTTGTGCTTCCTTTATGAGTTGATCACAATAATCAAACCAGGAAAGAAATGAAATTAAGGCTCGTTTTCCCGGAAATGCCGATGCATCTTCTTTATGACTATATGAGTCCAAACTGTGGGGCACAGAAGAAACGCCAAGTCATCCAAAAGCATTAATGCAGCTCAGGGCATGTGGAACATGAAGGCACGTGAATGAACTTACACAGGATGATGTATTTACACAGGCAATACAGCATGACTACCGGATGAGGGCTTTATAAAAGAAAGCTAAAGATTAGAGAAAAACTTTTAAATAAAAGTTCTAACTAATTTTCACTCATTATGTGGGAAGAGAGGGACTAAAGCAGAATGGAGCTGCAGGAGAAAAACCATTATCAGCTCCTCATACTTCTGCCATGAACTTGACCAAGTAACAGGAATGAAGAGTAGGAGAATCTCGGTGCTGGGAGGAAGGAAAAGGAAAGTGACGGAGGATCTGCACAAGGAAATGACTGGCCTGCTTCTCTTCCTGCCTTAACATGTAAGACAGTGGAATTAACAAGTGGGTCTAACCCACAGATGTCGGCAGAATACAGGGTGGAAAAAAACAAGTAAAAACCAAGAAGGATAAAAAATATATAGAAAAATAGTAACAGGTTATTATGTCATAACTAGAGGCCCAGTGCACGAAATTCGTGCACTTCGGGGGGGAGGGGTCCCTTAGCCCAGCCTGTGCTCTCTCACAGTCCGGAAGCCCCGTGATTGATCACCCCCACAGAGGGAGGCGTAGGCTACCTGTCACAGCACTGCCGCCAGGTAGCCTGGGTCTCCCTCTTTGGGGTGATCGCTCACGGGTTCTGCCATCAATCGCCCCAAAGAGGTAGGCCCTGCCCACCCAGCTGGGGCTCCATGATGGATAGCCCCCACAGAGGCCCTGCCCACCCGCCACAGCCCGCTGGCCAGTGGCCTGGGCCTCCCTCTGCAAGGCAATCATGGGGTGATGGCCAGGCCCCAAGCAATTGAATTGCACCTGCCTTGGCTGGCCTGGTGCCAGTGGTTGTCATAGAAGGTTGTCTGGACAGTCATTCTGCTGTTTGGTTATTCGGTCGATTTGCATATTAAGCTTTTATTATTATAGATATTATCCTGCTTGCCCAGCCAGCATGGCTCAGTGGTTGAGCACTGACGCATGAACCAGGAGGTCGCCAGTTTGATTCCTGGTCAGGGCACATGCCCGGGTTGCTGGCTGGATCTCCAGTGTGGGGCGTGCAGGAGGCAGCCAATCGATGATTCTCTCTCATCATTGATGTTTCTATCTTTTCTCTCCCTCTCCCTTCCTCTCTGAAGTCAATAAAAGTATATTTAAAAAAAAATATGATCCTGCTTATAGATGGAGGGATTATGGGTGATTTTATTTACGCTGCTTTATACTTTTTACTTATTTTTTATTTTTTAAATATATTTTATTGATTTTTTACAGAGAGGAAGGGAGAGGGATAGAGAGTTAGGAACATCAATGAGAGAGAAACATCGATCAGCTGCCTCCTGCACACCGCCTAACTGGGGATGTGCCTGCAACCAAGGTACATGCCCTTGACTGGAATCGAACCTGGGACCCTTCAGTCCGCAGGCTGATGCTCTATCCACTGAGCCAAACCGGTTAGGGCTGCTTTATACTTTTTAATAACTTATAAATGTTCCACAATAATCATAGTTTCCTACTAGAATCAAGGGGCAGCCCTGAAAGATGGGTAAAGGGGTGAGAGAACGAGGTAGGAGGAGCGGTCCTACATAGGGAGGCCATGAACCACACAAGACTGCCCCAGGGCCCGTGGAACTTATTCATAAAAAAGATTACTTTTTCTTAGGATTTTTAAAAAACAGATGAAGTTATTGATCTTAATGTAATGAAAGTCTTGAATGATCACTGTAATGGACAGAGGCAAAGTAGCTTCCTTATAGCAGCTGGACTATTCCCATACCCATTTATTTCTACTAATTACTAATCAATTCAAAACAAGCCTCACAAAATAATCCCATTTAATGCTCACTAGCTATGTTACCTTTTTCAAAACGAGAGATTCCTATTATTGCCCAATGGAAATGGATTTGAAAGTACAGGAGTGAGAAGTCACTTTTATGGAAACACACAAGTGGTGGTTCTTACCCCCAGTTGATGGCTTCCACCGTTTCAATATCTAAGGGGTCCACCGACGGAGGTAGGGCCTTGTACAGGGCGGCGAGTCTGTCGGTCAGGAGTTCGCACAGGCACGTGCTCTGCGTGAGGCACTTGGCAGCCTTGGGCTCTGGCAAACTCGCTAACAACATGAGGCCCTCGCAGGCCTTCACAGCTATTCGGCCGTCCTGCGGGGGAAAACACACCCCCTTTCAATTCCCAAATTAGATATCCGACGAGTAGTTGGAAAAAAATTTAACTTTAAAGGATTTAATGCTTTACTCTCAAATAAGAAAAGATTTTTTTTTTTTTTCTGTTTTAAGTGCATATAACTGTGATCACATTAGGAGGGAAAGTTATAGAGTCGGCGACTCACAGGGCTTCTGGTGAGATTTAACAAGGAATTCACGAGGTTGTAATCCTGGTTTGGGCGGACGACTGTGGCCTCCGGCAGTGACGCGACACTGAGGTTCTCCAGGCCCGTGGACAGGTCGTCCGTCTGAGGAGGAGGCTCATCGTCTAACTCCGTCTGCTCCGTCCCGGCCGCGCCTGGCAGCTCCTCGGGCCGACAGGGCTGTCCCGTGTCTGTGGACAAGGACTCTGCACCTTTTAACGTGTCTTCTGCAGTGACACTGGCTGCTCCTTTGGAAGCCAACGATTTCAACTTATTCTGAAAGGGAGTACAGGTGTTGTAAGCGTCACATCAAAAGCCTCTCAAACAGGTATCATGCCTGAATGGATTTTTCTTTTTTAAAAAAAATATATTTTATTGATTTTTTTTACAGAGAGGAAGGGAGAGGGAGAGGGATAGCGAGTTAGAAACATCGATGAGAGAGAAACATCGATTCAGCTGCCTCCGGCACGCCCCCTACTGGGGATGTGCCCGCAACCCAGGTACATGCCCTTGACCAGAATTGAACCTGGGACCCTTGAGTCCGCAGGCCGACGCTCTATCCGCGGAGCCAAACCAGCTAGGGCATGAATGGATTTACAACGTTCAGTGTCTAGCCAGCAGAGCAACAGACAGAAGTGTTTTGACAAATGAACACGCTCAGACTTTAACGAAATGTGTTCTAGGTATTTTAAACCTCGCAGAGGCATTTCAGATACACTTTACACTCTCTACAACAAGCATGTCAAATTCGAAGGCTTACACGGGCCAAATAAGGTTTAAGTTTTTGTGGGCCACAAAAAAACCAAAAGCTTCAATTTTCATAGAAACGTACGTTTATTTCGATAGAGACATAGTGAATACAAAGGGCTGAAATAAATGAGTCATCGTTAACATAAAATAACAGAACATTTTAATAAAAATTAATATATTTTCTTGAACATTAACTTACCAGACACTGAATAACTACACAAATTAATAAGTGTAACTCAAATAATCCTATTTTTCTTGTTCTCCAAAAGCTAAATATTTTCTGTTGTGCACACCAAACAAGTCAGTACAAGATTAATGACGTGGCAATCGGCTGCTAAAATATTCGCTGCTCGTGTTAGTGGAGAGAAATGGTGCGCCTGTGCATTAGGCACGTAAGAGAAATGAATGCAACACGATTATAGTAATCAGTAATTGGCGAACATTGTAGTTCGTTATTAATAATTATGTGTAACAGGATATTGTAAACATTAAGTTACGAAATTTTTATTAAAATGTTTCTTACATACTGTTATATTGGCTGGGCCGCAAAAATATTCGTTGTGGGCCACATGCAGCCCGAGGGCCACGAGTTTGACATGCTTGCTCTACAAAATGTTTCACTGACCATAAGCAGTGAACAGTGTTAGTGATGCCTATTTGACTGCTACTGTATCTGACTATTAGTCTTACCTCGTCACCAGCCTATAAACTCTTTTAGGGCAATGACAGTTTCTAGCTCATTTACCATAGGCATTTAACCCACAGTAGATGCATATGTTCAATGGTATAAATTGAATATAGGTTAGATTTTAGGGGGACGTGCTTAAGAACTGCAAAGTACTTTTGTGACGGACTATACTTACAGGTAATAAAGCTGTGTTTCTCTAAAGATGCCTTCATTCAACCGTGTTAATTAAACAGTCCTTATGCATTGTGCCAGGTACTAGACAGAGAAGCTGGGGGACCCAAAGATGAGACAGAACAGAGCCCTGGTCCTCAAGGAGCTGACTGACCAGCAGGAGAAAGTAAAATGCATAGAAAAACGCGAACACAGGCATGCTCTGAAGAGTGATGAGGATACCGTACCTCCAGAAAAAAATTAACCAAATAGGGATCTTCCTTCAGTTTTGCACACACAATACAGAGAAACTGAATTTCTTCATTTTCCGTTGGTGTTGCAAGGACTTCACCACAGAGTCGAATTAATTTCTGTCAACAATTTTTTCAAAAAATGTTTAAAGTTAGCTTATTTTTCACAAGTATGCATACAGCCATCCATATACCTTAGGGATATTTAAAGTTTTCAAATAATGCAAAGAGCTTGCATTATTCAGAAAGGACACTATTTACAATCACCGACATCAAAATAAGTTTGCTAGTAGTAAATTTTTCAAATGCATTACCCCCTCCTCCCCCCCCAAAATGAATGAGGTATATAAAAAACTCCTTGAGATGTCATGGAGATAAGTTAAAGGAAAAATTAATGTATAAAATTTTAAAAGAAAAATAAAGACATAAAATACATTTAATACCATGTCATACATAAAGCTCAAGTACTTGCTAATTTGCATGTAATTTTTAGAATAACTTCCTGTATTACTTGTACTCTTAGAAAAATTATATACAATTATATCTATACCCAAAGCAATCAAACCAAATAATTTTGTGTGTGGGGAATACATACCTGCACGGGCCTGTGCACGTTGATGTGCGGAAGTAGCGGCTGCTTGATTCTGCCCAGGAGTTTGGTGTAGAATCCCAGCACCTGCTGCTTCATTCCTGGAGGACACTGAGTAAAAGAGGAAAGGAAAGCAAATAAGAAAAGCACAGACAATACAAACACGCTTACTCAAATGCTTACAATACAGGAGAGACAATGATTCAAACGTACTCCACCCTCACCAGTCAGTGCAATTAGCCAGGATAAAATTCTCAATCAATTATTAATGCCTGGTATCCTGGAAATAAAATGACATCTGGGACTAGAATACAGCATATGGGACCAGAGGCTGATGTAATTATAGACCGCATGGTGGCAATACGCTGTTGAGATCCGAGCGTGGTTCGGGTGACGTCAGCCTGTTTTTACTCTAAGTGCTAAGGTAACATGAAACAATTATACTTACCTCCTTGGCAAAGCAAAGCCAGAATGTTGTTACTTAAACTAATGGCAGGTAATCAATAACTGTCCATCATATAAATGCAGGAGTAAATAAAGCCTAACACATGTATGTAAATAAAAGGACTCCTATGGTATACACTTCTGTGATCTAGGCCAACAACACTGTTTTAAGTTAGTTGCAAAGTTATTTAAATTATTATTGTAGGCAATTAATATTTAAAAAATAAGTTTTTATAACATGACAGTTGTTTTAAATATTTTCTTAAAAGTAGGTAAACATGATTACTCACATTGTGAATTAAGAGAGTATGAATTAATATGTTCTATAATTAACCTGCTTATACTGCCTCAGAACTAAAATACAGTCACAAGATGTGTAGCATTTCTAAAGCATGATCACAGACATGCTATCCAGAAACAGTATAAATTATGTTAAGCACAATATTTTTAAGATAGCAATACCTTGCATTATTCAGATAAACCACTAGTAGTTACAATTACCTATATCAAAATATAGTTAGTAGTACAACCACTAAAATGTACTCAAAAATCAACTTTTATCCAACTTAGACATTCACAGAACAGAACCACAGATTTTTAGAGTTGAGGCTGCTTGATATCACTTCCTTGTTTTGAAAGAAGAGGAAGATTAACCAGCAAGACTTGCTGAAGGTTGCAGTATATTAGTGACAAAGCCAGGCCTCCTAACCTGAACCCCAAGTTCTTCCCCTACCCTCACTACCTTTATAAGTAATTTGAAAGCTTTGAAGCACAGAATATTATTTATAGAATACCAGCTTCACAAAGATTTCCCAAGACTCATTAGGCCTAAAAACTTGAATGGTCTCCACTTACTAGAGAGTTAATGTCAGAATAATCAGTGACATTCTCTTTCAGGATTATGAAACAGAATTCCTATTTCTGTTTTTGTATAATTCCTAATTTTTGTAACCCAACTTTCACTGGGTTCCTTCTCACCTCCTTTGATTCTGAGCACATGTACTTGAGTTTATTTTCATAAATGTTTACACTGGGATCCTAGGCTGCCTAGGTACCAGTTGTTGTCTAGAGCATTTGGGAGTTTTGCTATCTCTATGGAAAGTCATGTTCTTACAGGATGCACGATTTTCATTTTTTGTACAACACTGACTTAAGTCCTGCCATGCTTAATACATACCTCTACAATTAAATGTAGTACTTGGCAGCTTCTTTATCTCTAAGACGTGACTACATGTATTATATGCCTAAGGACATGATGTGGATTAGAAACTTACATCAGCTTTCCCTAAGGTATATAATGTTTCCAGGATCTTGTGATGAAGCAAGTATTCCATACATGGCCCCGTCTCTCCAGATTCCCGTTCCTTTTCTTCTTGTACCAATATATCTAACATCTGTTCCAGATGAGATGGAATGTTTGTATCTGTCACTGGGGCTTTGTCATCTAAATGATAAAAAAACGTTCGTCAAACAACCCAACATTTTTAAACTGCGTATTTAAACTAAATACTTTATTGAATATTAAACTGCATATTTTAAACTAGAAAAATCTGAACTACACACTTAAATGAGGTTTATACTCATAGTATAATTATCTTTGCCAGAATGTAGATGATGCTTTAACCATTTTTTTAAAATTGATTTTTAGAAAGAGAGAGAGAAACATTGATGTGAAAGAGAAACATCGATTGGTTGCCTCCTGCATGCTGAGGATGGAACCAAATTCTGGGCACATGCCCTGACTGGGAATCAAACCCACAACCTGTTGGTGTACAAGATAACACTAGAACCAACTAAGCCACACAGGCTGGGCGCTTTTGCCCTCTTATTAGAAAACTGAATCAGCCCGGCCGATGTGGCTCAATGGTTGAGCGTTGACTCATAAACCTGGTGAGGGCACATGCCCGGGTTACAGGCTCCATCCCCAGTTGGGGATAAGCAGGAGGCAGCCTATCGATGATTCTTTCTCATCACTGATGTTTCTATCTCTTTGACTTTGGGAATAGCTGTCTGTTAATAAGTAGAATGTCAGAAATTGTTAAAAGGGCTTTTTTGGTCTCCTCGTGTTTTCATAAATGGAGATGACTTCCCAATGCTAAGAAGTAACTCAGTAGCAATCAAAACAGAACCTGTCCTCTCTCTGTTTTCTAGGTTAGTAAGCTTAATTTCAAGGCCAACCTGTTTCTATATAAAGATACTTAAAATTCAGACCATCTAACTGGCTAATTGAAAAAAAAAATTTTAATTACAAGTACATACAACATTTTTATGTTTACATGCATTTTTCCTGATCATGTTCCCATTTTTCCCCAAATGGTTCTTATTTCTACATTATTATGCATAAAAACTAACTTACAGAATATAGAGTGGGGCAAAAGTAGGTGTACAGTTGTTTGTATAGAAAATAAAATAATAAATAATACAAGAATAAACTGTTGTTTCATGGACTCACAACTGTAAACCTACTTTTGCCTCACCCTGTGTATAGTCTGATTTTTATTCATTGCACAAATATAAAGGAGTTTTTTTTCCTTTAAGACACATCCCCCATAACCCTATCAACTTGCCAAATCAACTATCATTTTTTCATGTTTCCTTTCAGTGAAATGACATGTGCCCAATCTGCATATCCACTAGTGTTTACCTCATTCCTCAAGGGAGCTCACAGTGCCATGTAGCAATGCTACTGTACTTCCCTATTCCCTACTTCAGAAGTTGCCAAACTTTACCCGCAGGGCAAATCCAGCCTTGCCATCTATTTTGATAAATAAAGTTGTATTAGAACAAGGGACTGTTTATTCTTTTACACGTTACCAATGGCCAGTTTGCATTACAACAGAACTGAGCAGTTACAAAGAGACCACATGGCCTACCTCTGGCCCTTTACAGGGAAAGTTTGCTCAGCCTTGACTAACTGTTCATGTTCCCCCACATTCACTCTGCACCCTACATACTCACTGAGAAAAACAGAAACCAGAAGGTAACTTCTGAAGACTCCCTACACCACATCTGCCCGCTTCCTGCACTTATACCCAGATGTTCTGCTTTCTACTTTATTTTTTTACGGAGAAACTGTCCACAACCTATTTAGCGCTAAGCCTCTGCTTGTGCACTAGGTCCCATCCTCCCCCTCCCCCCTGCCCCCTGCCTACTCAGGGACATTGCTCAGAAATGATCTCATCTGACTACTATACTCACATTTCCCTCCCTACTAGGTCATTCCCATTAAATTATAAATTGCATACTTTCTACCTTAAAGTATCCTTGCCTCTTTTGACACTACACCTCCCTCCAGCTGCTGCTCCATTTCTCAGCTCCCTTTACGCCAACACTCCCCAGTAGAGCAACCTACCTAACTCCGAGGTTCCAGTCTCTCTTGGTTTCGCTATTGTTCTCATCTTCCTAATCCCTAGACATCGAGTCCAAGGGCTCAGTTCCTGAACACCTTCTCTCTCCCATCTATCCTTACTCCCTAGATAAGCTCATCTAGTCTCAGGACTCTCAATTTCATATCCCTCATTTCGTTAGATCTCTACCCTGAATGCCTATTTCCAATTGTCTACTTGACACATCCAACTAGATCAGCGGTTCTCAACCTGTGGGTCGCGACCCCTTTGGGGGTCAAATGACCCTTTCACAGGGGTCGCCTAAGACCATTGGAAAACACATATATAATTACATATTGTTTTTGTGATTAATCACTATGCTTTAATTATGTTCAATTTGTAACAATGAAATTGGGAGTCACCACAACATGAGGAACTGTATTAAAGGGTCGTGGCATTAGGAAGGTTGAGAACCACTGAACTAGATAGATCATGAGCATCTCAAACTCAATATGTTGAAAATTCTCTTTCAAACCTGCTCCTCCTGCAGTCTCCTCATTCTCTATTTTTCCAGTTTCACTACTTACACCAAAACTTTGGAGATAGCCTTGCCTTTTATTCTCTCATGCCCAATATCTAATTCTTCAAAACATACCCAGAATATGATCACTTCTGATCACCTTCCCCCCTGGTCTAAGCCACCATCACCTCTCAAACCACTGCAATAGTCCCCTAACTGTTCTACCGGAGGGTGTCACCTCCGCTTCCCTTCAATCTAAATTTTCATAGAAGCCAAAGTGACCCAGTCACCTCTGCTCAAAACCCTCTAATGGCTGCCCACCTGAGAGTACAAGCCAAAGCCCTTGGGATGGCTTACAAGGTCTTATGTGAATCCCCACCCTCCAGCTTTGATTTTATCTCCTACCAATTTCTCCTCGTTCACTCTAGCCACACTGGCTTCCCCATAGTTCCAGGAATTGTCCATGCAAGCGCAGGCTGCCTGTTCCAGCCTCAGGGTCTATGCACTCCTTCTTTTCCTGCA